GCAGGGGGACGGGGCAGGGCGACGGGCCTAGAGCAAACTAGCCTTTGCACTACAAGGAACAGTTTGCCTGTCGTTCTGTACACAGCAAACAACAAGCGAAGTCTGTCACAAGCGGTATAAAATTGGGATACATACTGCGGCTATTACCATGTGCAACATTTTACTGAAGACCCAAAATATGTGCCATGCGTTGGGTGCGTACGGAATGACAAACTGTTCTAATATGGGAATTACGCCAACGCTAGGGGCAGCAATGCACGAGTGAGGTTTTGTCTTGCTCATGCTAAGCACAAAGTTTTCTTTACCTTATTGAGTAAAAAGCATTCAACAATGCTCTATTCTGTCATATATGAGCAGATCTTTATTAAATGTGACTCGCTCTGTGAAACAAGAAATTTGACCTTTTTTACAGAATCGCCAATCAGGAAAGAGTGAAAAAAATAATCTCTATTTTTCCACCTCATTGGAAGTTTTACGTCTTGAAATATGTACAATTTTGACTGGGTAGTAGGAATATATAAGCACTTTAGATTTTCTGCAGTCTTGTATTAACTAAAAAGACCTACTGTTATTCACTCAGGACCTGGGATAGTTTCCATGAAGCTCTGAATACAGGGAAATTGGCTGAGCTGAGAAAAACAGCTGTAAAGGTGTAAAAGTTCAGATCGTTTTGTCCACTTACTTGGCTTGTAGTTGGCACTCTGGGCATCTTCCGACACCAGGACCCGAGAGATATGGCCGTCGTCCTTGTCCTTGGACAGCCAGCGCTTGCAGGGGAAGCAGTAGTGCCTGCCCAGCGTAGGCATGTCCACCTCAATCTCCTCCAGATACCAGCCCTCCTGAGGGGTCACTCCATCGTGGCCGATCTTGGGTCGGTTCAGAAGGAGAGAAAAGGTAATACAATTCTGACGTGATCTAACAAAATGAGCTTTAAGCCCATTGATTGATTAATTTTCAAGCTTGTATAAGAAATAAAGGAAACCGAACTCTTCGATTTGATGTGCCACTCATTTTGGCATCAAGATGAAAATCAATACATGAGCAAAAACCGTTGGTTTCAAATGATTTACCTTATTAAAGTAAGTATTCTCTAAAGATGTCAAACTCAAAAGAGTTAATCCTACGACTTGCAACTCAATTTACAATGTTAGGTCACGATTGTGATCAATACTTACGCAGAATCTGTCATGTTAATGGCCAATCACTTATTTCTGTCACCTTGTCATGAATATTCAAGTTACAAAAAGTCAACCCCCCCAACAAAAATAATCTTTGCAAATCGATTTAAAACCTCGGTTTCCCGTAGCTGTATTCATTTTATTAATCTCCCTGTCTGTACCTCGATCTTTTTGATATCTGTCACATCCGGCGCCTCCAGGGAGAACGTCTCGATGGATCCAGGCTCCAGCTTGCTCTTACTGACCAGCTGAAGGGGAAGGCGGCCTGTCGTGTGCTTCTTCTTGGGCCCACTGATGACGATGTAGATGTTGGCATCTGTCCCCATGTCGGGCTCCTTGCCGGTGGTCACTCGGATCGTGTAGGGTATTGCTGAAAAAAAAAAAAAGCAGGTATGAAAGAATTGGGATTAGGCTTTGTGAGGGAGTCTCATCACACGTGGAACATCTTTCTTCCCCAGTCCCTCATCAAAAGCAAGATTGAAAAGGAAGTAGCAATATTTCCTAAATATGTCAGATTTTCTTTCCAAAGAGTAGCTGGCTTAAAGAAAGGCTCTCATGATCTTTCTTCCTTTTTTTTTGGTTGGAGCAGGATGAAAATTTATCGATCCCTCCAGTTAAAGCTTGGTGGCTAAATCCGCTCCTTCCCTCCGTTATTGACAAGTAAAACAAGAATCTTGGAAATTGTTTTCCCAGATACCTTTCTCTCTTCCTGAGAATGAAGATCACAGAAAATGGTGCTGTTCAGACTACACAACTAAAATTGACCTGCACTGTCCAAAGCAAACACTTGGCCCAAAGAAACTGTCTACTTTTGGGTGCTGAACAGGCTTGTGATTTTTTTCTGCAACTCTCGGACCACACAAAAAAACACAGTCCAAATATATATGTCAATATATTTCGATGTGAGGGCTAAACCTTGTCTAAAATCATTTGAAGTTAATCCTTAGAAACTTTAACCAACACAAAAGAAATCACAGGGCAGCGATGGGGGACGTTAATGCATTTAAACATTTTGTTTGAGATTTTCTTAATTTTGTTTTTTGCTGTGAGGTCCCCTGAGCAGGACGCAACTGGTCTTACTTGGTCCAGTGAATTCTGGCATCTCCAGCATGGACTTCCGTCTGGTCAGTGGGCCGGGGCTGTCCGACCGGACAGACTTCAGTGACCCTGATGACTTGCTCCTGTGTAGGGTGCTCGTGCTGGACATGTCGCCTTCGTAACCCTACCAAGACAATCGTGTGACAACAAGCAGCATTAATAAGATCACAAAGGCTAGAAGTAACTCCGATGTTTTTCGTACCGCTCTGACTCCAGTTTTGGGCATGACAAATTTTGGCAGAAAAGGGGAAATCTATTGTTGACAAATGTTCACATGTACATGTTCACAGCCCTATTTTTACCATCTTCAAAAAAATTCTACAAAAATTTTATGTGGTATTCACTTTAAAACGTTTGGGGCCCTCTTTTTCCCCTTTTCCTTTCTATTTCTCGTTGCGTTTTCTTTCTTTTTGGTCAGGGGATTCAACCATCTAACACCCCTTCTTTACGTAGGCCTAAAGGTCTCCCCAAAACTGTTTAAAGCAGGTTTCAATGAAACTCTTGCACTGTATTCATTCCTACCTTGGCATACAAAGTCCTCTCCAGCTTGCCGTCATCTTTGTTCTTGCCTAACCACCTCTCGCAGTGGAAGACGTACTTCTCCCCGTCGTGGTCGATGACCTCTACCCTGTCTAGGAACCAGGCTGCCGAGAACCCGGTGTTGTCGTGGCGAATCTTGAGCTTGAAGGGTTTGCCCAAGTCAGCAGCCTCAAAGGAGAACTTGTCACACTGTCAAATGAAGACGGAGGTTTCAGAGAAGTAGGATATAAAGACAAATATATCTGTACAATAAATAAATAACTAAAATAAAAATGGTTGTTCCATGAGGCAGAGGGAAAATTTCAGTCTACAACTTACGTGCCCGCGCTCAAACTTGTCTGTGTAGGTCTCGGAGTTGCGTAGTTGCCGTTCCCCGCTATCGCCGTTCTCGCCGAAGAGGGTGCAGAACACGTTGGCATCGGTGCCGGCACGGAACACATCACCAGTGTATACCTGAACAGCATACTTCTTCACTGTGGACAACAAGCAAAACATACATGTAGCCTAAATAATGGGGACGACAGTCAATCCTCCGTATTTCCGACGATTGCCAGATGAGACCGGATCCAGTAAAACGACTCTCAAGTATTTTTTCAAACTAATGTGCTTTGCCTCATGTATTAGACAGAACATAATCCCCTGTTCCATTTCGACATTCACTTTGGCATAAACATATTTACTCTATGGATATTTAAGAGATTAGACTTCTGTTTATACTTCAATAACGGAAGTTTGGTAAAAGGCTTGATTCTAAAAAGTAGCACTGGCGACTTGCGGCTCATTTTGTAGAACGGGGCCTCACGCAGTCTTGCACTTATTGCAGGTTCTCTATGTCCTGGCTGTGAATTTTGACGGACTGAGGGTAGATGCCAAGCACCGATGATAGATCCCTTACTTGTCAGTGTGTCCTGCTTAACTTCTTTCTTCTTTGTGCTTCCGTCCTTCCGGACTTTCTCCTCAGTGATCTGCGCTGGGACCAGTTCCCTGATAATCTCACCGTCATCTTCCTTCCGGGACAGCCAACGATTGCAGGGGAAGACGTAGGTCCTGGAACCCTAGATTCCAATCAACAGAGCATTTAGAACCCAAGGTTATTGATCCAGAAGTGAATGGGCCACATACATCCTAGATTCCTTGATTTTGATAAATAGGACATCGACCACGCACAATTATGTGCAGTGGATGGGTCACATACGTCCTGGGGTTCCAGATAAATCAATCTCACTTTATTCCCGTATACGACAAATATTTGATATATAGTGTACAGCAGAAGAAAATTTATAAACAATACATATGTGAAGGAATCCCATAAGAAGCTAAGCTTGAGAATGGGAACCCTTTCAAAAGATTTCCTCAAGTTTCATGAGTGAGAGATTTCAAAAAATCCTTAATGATAACAATGTCTTTATTCCATTAATACACAGTACAATCAAGAATAGAAGATAGATATAAGGTTTTCATTAAATTAATTACAACCAAATCGATATCAAGAGACAATTCCAGCGAGAAAAAAATGCATATGTGCCAAACAATGGTTCATTTAGACGCTATGGTTGATGATTCGCGGGTGATGGGTCATATGGGTCCTATGACCAGCTCAGCACCAGAGGGCAGCATACCTTGGAGTTTTCCAACAGTCTCCGTACTTCCACCTTGTTAAGATGCCACGCTGCCCCAAACCCGGCATTGTCATGCCCAATGCGTAGCTTTTCAATCGTTTCTCCCACATCTTCGAGCTGAAAAAAATGTTGACAAATACACAATAATGATATTTCCAAAAATATCATCATATCTGAAAACAAATTATGGGCCTCCCATGGAAGGGGTCATGACTCCTGCTGACTCCAATCCACCCCTGGCTCCAAACTTCTCTACACCAATGGTTTTCCCCAGGAAATGTACCTCAATGACAAACTTGTCCACTTGGTTCCTCTCAAAGCACTCCTTTCTCTGCTTCTTGGTTTGGCACAGGCTCTTCTGGCTTGTCACGACCTCCTGGCCGTACAGAGTGACAAAGACGTCCGAGTCTGTCCCCGCGCCCGACACGTCACTGGTGTAGACAGTGAACTCATAAGGCACATCTGTCAGATGTAAAAAACAACTCGGTCATACTGTATACTTAAAAAGACAATCTTATTGGTCGAGCACCTTTATTACATCAGTAACGTGTCGCAAATAACGACACCTTGTTGATTAATGAAAATAGCAGGTCATGTCACGGCAGGAAAATCGTGGGAATAATAGTTAACTTAGCATGTTGACTGCTGACTGCAAATGTACTCGTAGTCACAGGTGTAGGAAATGAACTCGTAGAAAATGAAAGGCTTTCGCAATGCAAATTGTATACACTGACATCACTATACAAGAACACAATAAACCCGCTGTTGGCAGGGTTGAGGGCGTACATCCGTTAAATGCTAATGTATAAATGGACACCTGAGAGGTAACTATTAAATAGGCGCATATGTGTACAACGCTTGGCAAACGGAAATGACCCATTAAAATCATGTTCAGCTCAACGAGCGAGAAATTTGGTATCATAGAAAACACAGATTACAGGCAATGACTGGTGCGTCACTGCATTACCTTGGAATACACGTCATCTGAATTCAAGTCATAACAACCTAATGCTATGGATACATGACACATAATTTTCTCCTCAAAACAGGTTTCCATGTTCTTTTGAAAATCTCCCAAAAGTCTATTTGTCCAAAGAAGTATTCTGTAGATAAAGTCCTTTTCACCATAAAATTCTGAAGGCTTCCGCATCGTGTCACTTTGTTGCTTTCGATGACTTTTGCAGGTTTTTCCATCCTCTTTCTGATATTAACTTTCCCATCTTAAAACGATATTTTACTCACGTTTTTGGTATTCTTCTGTCCTTGTCTCCACCGGGTGAAGGATTCTTTCAATTTGCCCGTCGTCCTCCCCCTTGTCGAGCCACCGCCCACAAGGGAAGTACCACCTCTTGCCCAGGGAAGGAGCGTCAATTTCAACCTTGTCCAGCTTCCAGCCAGCAAAGCCTCCTTTGTTGTCGTGACCAATCCTGTTGCAGGATGAGATTGGGACAGGATGAATTTGACTGTCATGAAACGTAACAAAATTTACAGCAACACGCAAGTCGAAACAGGAAAATGATCACATCAAGAACTAGCCGAGATATTGTCCAAGTTGAACTTTTTGAGGAGATAAGAATGAAACATTAAAAGAAAGATTATTCTACAAAAATGAGAAGCCAGTGAAAATCGTTTTAAAAATATGTCAATCCGAACAGCCACCAACATTAAACCATCAACTTCTTCAAAAACTGAGAACAGTTGTGTACTTGATTTTCTGAATCTCTCCAATGTCCACTGCTTCAATGATGAACTCATCTGTCTTCCCTCGCTCAAACTTATCCCGGTTTGTCTTGGATGATTTGAGAAAGTGCTGACCTGGTGAGATTAAAAAAAGAGCCAAAAAACAAGATTACACGGTCGCAGCCACTATTAGTGAAACGACATACGACCCATGTATCAAGTTTGACGCTGATTGCAACTGCAGGCTGTAAATTTAACCTCTGAATTATAAACTGTATCGTCTTTTCACTGAAAACTACATTTTTTATAGTTGTGCTGTATGTAATACGGCCGTTTCACAATAGTGCGCCACCAAGAGTTTGCAACGCGTTAGCCAATCACAATGCGCGAAATTTGTCGACCCACTGCGCGTTTGAAAATGGTTGACAAATTTCGAAGGTTATGATTGGCCAGCGTGTTGCAAACTCTTGGTGGCGCACTATTGTGAATCGCCCGTATTGATACGGCTTCAAAATTGGGCTTTTAAAATTTGACTACTGACTTTGGCCTTTGTACATTGGCCACTGATTTTGGCCTCTGTATTTTTTGGCCACCAAATTTGACTTTGGAGTTAGTCTTCAGATTAAACCGTAACCCTAAAATACCACTATTAGACCAGAACAAACCGAATTAAATTAAACGTTCATTTTCTTACCTGTGTCATCATTTTCACCGTACAGGACAACGTAGACATTAGCATCTGTGCCGGCACCGCGAACGTCAGCTGTTGTCACGTAGACATGGTATGTCTCCATGGAGGCTGTTTGCAAAAGGTTCGAATGACAAAGTCAATTGCAGCGCAAATAACTGGGCTCAATTTTTATCAATGTCAAGGTTGAAGAAATTCGGAAAATATAAAATGCTACGAACCTTTGGCTTCTAATGCAATCTCTTCCCGCACCGATGTGGAGGACCGTCGCCGAGACAACGACCTCTGAATGACCTCCTTCTCAACCGGGATGAGGTCCCGGGAGATCTGGCCGTCGTCTTTGTTCGTAGCCAGCCACCGCTGACAGGGGAAATAATACCTGAAACAAGCCGAGCGGTAAAAAAATTCGTCAGACGGTTCAATTCAAAATTGAGTCTCCTGACAGAATACTGCAAAACGCTTTACCGAATTTGTCACCTTCACCATGAAAAGCTTCAAAATTCATGGTTCATTTCAAAGAGAAATAAGAAGCTAGAACGTGACCTGCTGTTTTACAGCAACCAACCTGCGATTGTGCATTTTGTCCTCGACCTCCACCCTGTCGAGAAACCAGTTGGCGCCTGGGCCAGAGTTGTCATGCCTGATCTTCAGCTTCTTCAAACCACCAAGGTCAGCTGCTTCCATCTTGAAAATGTCCTCCTGGAGGTGGAACAAGAGAAGAGGCACTTCAGAAATGACTTTCCTACGAGAGACGCTTTCCCGCTGTCAAATACTGGAGGGACTTTTAAACTTGCAGCCGACCAATGGCCATTTTGTAAGTAATACAAGCTCTGGAAAATAATTTGGAAGCGTCTATGACCAAAAATCCCGGAACAGAGTGCCAAGTCAAGATGTCGCGTGCACAAATATGTGCGCAAAAGGCATTCTTACTAACACATGAACCAATATGCACGCGCAATCCATTCACTTGCACTACACATCCGGGTTCACGTGACGTCACCGTTCCATATTCTACAGCAAAGCCAAGACCTACCTGGTTTCGTTCAAACTTGTTCATGTTGGTCTCAGAGTCCTTCAGCCTTCGTTCTCCAGTGTCGCCCTTCTCCCCGTATATATTGATGAAGACATTGGCGTCAGTTCCAGCTTGGAACACGTCCCCGGTGTACGTGTGGATGACGTAGTCGCACACTGTCAGAATAAAAAAAAATTAACACAATAAAAAAATTGCTCCACGTGTTACATTTGGCCCAAATGGTATACATTAATAAATAATACCTGAGATGGTACCTGGGCCCATGCCCAGCATATCTCTGGCAAGCCAAATTCGTATTTTTTAAAAAAACTGAAAAGAACGAAACGCTTACTTTTCAGGGAGTTTTTCTTCAGGACGTTTCCAGACTCATCTGTTGGAACCAGTTCCCTGACAATCTGTCCATCGTCCTCACTGCGGGCTAACCAACGGTTGCAGACAAACAAGTATTTCGTTGTTTCCTGGCTCTCATCCACTACCTTCCCATCATCTTCCTTTTCATCATCGTCGTCGCTTTGCAATCGAGTCCTTGACTTGGATCGCCGCCTCTGGGACCTACCGTTTCCATCATCATCTTCTTCGTCGCTAGGCAACCGCATCTTTGATCTGGACTTCCGTCGTTTAAGGCGTTTCTTCGGCGGGAAGCGTTCAATCTGGACCTACGACAGCAGAAAGGAAAACATTTGAAAAAAACTGAAAAAAAGTAAAAAACAGAACAAGGAAATTATTAAATTATTAACGAAATTATCCTTCTGCAAGACTGATTACATTGTGAAGTTGGAGACCTACCCTGTCCAAGAACCACCCAGCAAAACGTCCAGCACCATCATGACCGATGCGAATCTTGCTGATTGGTCCGACATCCTCAGCTTCAATCTTTGCGGAAAGAAAAATCCATACCAAGACATTTTGACCGCAGCTTTCTACAATTTAACTTTGCAAGTTTGTCGGCAGCTAAAATCTCCTCGTTGCCAAACATACCTTAAACTTGTCCACGTTGTTCTTCTCAAAGTTGTCGGTGCGGTTGCGGAGGTTGAATTCCTCTGTCTTGGCACCGTCCTCGCCGTAGATGCGCAGGAAGACGTTGGCGTCCGTTCCCGCCCCTGAGCAGCTACCAGTTACGACCGTTATCTCGTACGGAATACCTACAAAAAAACCCCCAAAACTCCTTGAAAATAACATTCTCTTCATTTGTTTGGAATGTTCTAACAGACGTAGTCTGTTTCTTTGGAGTACAACACGACTCTTAATGCCTGGTTCGGAATCATGCGTCGCTGCTTACGATCAGCTCTGAGACGGTAAGAATCAGTTTCTTATGGCTTTTCTCTCAACAAGGTGGGGGGAATATTCTGAATCCACTCAATTTGATTTCAGTGCACAGTCACGGACGTTTTTTTTTATACTCAAAGACACTGCAGGTGGCAGACTGGTACAAAGTCAAGACTGAATATAACCGAGCATGCAAACTGTGTGATCATCTTCCCTCTTTAGTTTAAGGGCCAGCTTGTTTCAATCGGACCTAAATTGTGATCCATCATCCGTTGCTCGTTTACTGATGGAGCGAACCAGCGATAGGATCGCTCGAGATCCTGATCCGTGTGAAACGAACTGGCCTTAAAATCCCCAGTTCTAACCCACTCCTTTCCTAGGTGCACCTTCTTTACGTACGCGGTTTGGTCTTCTTGGTGTCCGTTGGGTACAGCTCAACCTCAAGTTCGCCGTCTTCCTCATCTTCGGCCAGCCAGCGATGAGAGGCAAACGTGTATGTCAGGCCCCTGGATGGAATGTCCACCTCCACTGAGTCCAGGAACCAGCCTGCCCCGGGGCCTGAGCCGTCATGGCTGATCTTGATGTATTCCAGCTAGAGACCAAATTCAGAGTTGGACATTTATAAGCATGCGGGGGGGGGTTACACTCCAATTAACCCGTGATGGACTGATATGAGTGGTGCACCTGTGGTTTGACTCTAGAAGGGAAAAAAAAGGTATTGTCCTAGTGTTTTTCTTGAAAAAGAACCCTCTCTTCAAAAGGAAGACAGTTATAAAGTGTAACACTTCTCAATAGAGTCCCAATTCCTAAAAAAAAAACCTGCAGTGTAGCTAACAAGGATACTAAAGGTCTTCCAGACACGTCACTGACTGATATTCTTGGTGCATGGAAAATCATGCAGTTTAGTGACTACATCTTGATCCCAGATCTGAAGTTGTACACTGCTTATGGACTGACAGCGAAATTCCGCGGTAAAACATACTTTCCCGATGTCCACGGCTTCCAGGGTGAACTTGTCCGTCCGCCCCCGCTCAAATTTGTTCTTGGTGTTCTCCGACTGTTTGAGCGGGATCAGGCCCGTGTCCCCATCCTCCCCGAACAGTTTGATGTGGACGTTGGCGTCCGTGCCCGCTGACCGCTCGTCACCCGTCTTGACGGACACGTGGTAAGATGTTGCTGTTGATGGTGGGACAATTTGGACAAAGTGGCCTTAACTTCAGGGTCAGGTTTGTGACCCAAAACAATGAAAGATCACTTTACCACAAGTTTGGTTCTAGACCAAAAGAATGAGTTTAGGGATAAATGAATGATTTTTGACTATATACTTTAAAATTGTTAAAAAGTTCTAGTAATATTTGGCCGATTCTAAAATTCTTAGAGTCTTTAAAACCTATGGCTAATTCTGTTACTCCACTCATCTAAAATTTGTGGAAGGTCCTAAAACCCTCTCTGTCATTTTCAATTTATCTAGACTTACTTGAAAGAAGTTGGGAATTCCCTTCTGGCACAAGTTCTCGAACAATCTGTCCGTCATCCTCATCTCGATCCAGCCACCTGGGAGGGAACGAAAGCACAGCATTGGCAGAAATGACTTGAGATTTAAAAACAAAACTTGGGAGCCTCCCAAAAGTGATGATATTCATCACTTCCGGAAACGAAGAGGGTTGAATCTTGACATGCCTTCCATTTCTTCTAATAAATAGGCTACACCCTCCATTCCAAGGAAAACTGTCGGTGACACCTACAAACAGTTCCAAAGATCAAACAGAATGTACATGATATCCTGGGTACAAGAAAAATTAAGATGCGGTATCCTGGACAGTGAGCATCTTCAGCTCTGCGACGAGGTACTCAAAGCAGGCAGAGATCTCAGGAACATCTGAGTCAAATATATTCAATAGATTTGGATACTGAGCAGTTTCAATTTATTGACCTCTTGCAGGGGAAGACGACCTCTGAGTTTGGCCTGCCCTCCTGTTGGACCACCACTTTGTCCAGCATCCAGCCTGCTCCGGCCCCGGTGCCGTCATGGCCAACGCGAATCTTCTTCAAGGCACGTAGTGAGACTGCTTCAATGATAAACTCATCCACCTGCAGACACAAAAGGAAATGTGATGACCTTGCAATTGCGTTATTCCGCCCCGACTGAGACCGAGAAAAGGCGCTTTACTAGCACCAAGTGGCGTGTCCGGTGGGAACTGTGATTTGCTCGTTCACGACCGACTATGAAGTGTACGTGTCGTGGTCGTGTTGCTACCAATAAGATGGTGCTCGACTGAACACTCCCAAACATGGCTCTTATCCATTGATGTGGAAGTGCTTCTGCTCAAGGGGGATACTGTTTTGCATCTTGTACACCTCGCCAATGCTTACCATTGAAGGCCACTAGAATTAGAGAGAGGGAATGAAAATTACTGACAGATTTTCGTAGGGCAGTGAACTTACACTCTTTCTTTCAAACTTGTTCCTATTGGTGGCTGACTTGGAGAGAGGCCTCTCACCCGTGTCACCCAGCTCGCCGAAGATGTTGCAGAAGACGTTAGCATTTGTGCCGGCACCAAACTTGTCCGCTGTGTGAACCAAGACCTTGTACTTGACCACTGTTTAATCAAAGAAATGCATAAAGATCACTGTAAAATTAACCAGCTCCTACAAATGTGTCTCAATGAGTCTCAAGGCCATTTTGCCAGTCATTTCATTCTTGTTTGGATCGGAAAGGGCAAACTGAGTTCTTGCTATTGATGCATCACTCAGTCTGGCACCCTGAAGAAAATGGACATTATGTGGATGAAACATGTGAGGGTTCCTATTCATTTCCACTGGGCGAGCTTTTTTTTCCCAAGGTACCTAGATAAAAAGTGGTTCTAGCAACTTCTGACTTATATTGTTGGGCTGAGTCACAGATGCCAATCCAAGAGTTTCCGCACTTCAGCAGGACACTTCAGAGTACAACATTTGACAGGTGTAGCAGAACGAAAAAAATCCCCACGTATAGAATTCTTAGTGCTTCTCTTTGTGAAACAATGAGAAGAAAAAGATTTCATTTCAGGTTGTTTGGTGAGTAGATCTTACAAGGCAACGGCTTCTTGATGCTGTCTCCAGTAGCAGGTAACTCCCTGATAATCTCCCCATCATCTTCGCTCTTGGCCAGCCAGCGATTGCAAGGGAAGATGTAGCACTTCTTGGACGAAACTGGCTGAATTTCAATCTGCGGACCCAAAACCAAACTGAATCCCTGAACTGATCTTAACTGGATCACAGTATTAACGAATCTGTCATACAGAGTCAGAAGCCATTACTGCGGGGCTGTCCCATCTGCACGCAAATGGTCCGCACGAGTTACATTTCTCTGTGAACAAGAGGGTGTTTTGACTTGCCAATGAGTGCATGTGTACTCAAGTTAAGATTCCTGTGTGAGTACAATAGCCCCATAGGAATAGCCTCTCCTCAGATACGACTATAAAATTCAGACAACTGTAACCGCTCCTATATGGTACGAACATATCTTTGGACTGAAGAGTGCAGCTTAGCCCTGTCATGACTGCCTATGGAGTATGCACTGTTTCGTGTGCCTTTAAGTCAGAGAAATTCTGACTAAATTTCAGCTGAATGTGTACAAACTCGAAGTAAACTTTGCTTGTGAAAGGTGAGCAACTTAGCAGTGGGAAACTGACAACAACTTGGTGTCTCATCACTTCCAACTTTTGAACTTCCACAGCTGAGTGAAAAGTAGAGACACTGAAATTAACGATGGTTTATACCTGAATGTACAAGTCTTTGGAATGGAATAAATTACATTCCTTTCCTCATCAGCCCTCGAAAATTGTTGACCACCAAGTGCATCAGCATCTTGCAGTTGATGAAGTGGACAATTTCCCCTTTCTTTGCCTTGAGAATTTCCTAAAAACGCTATACAGAACACCTGTTTTACCTTTTCAAGATGCCAACCAGCAGCCATGCCCTTGTTGTCGTGCCACACCCTCATCTTGTAGGGCTTGCCCACGGGCACCATCTCAATTTTGAAGCTGTCCTGTTGGCCTCGCTCAAAGTTGTCGCTCTTGTTATCCAGCTTGATCTCGTCCGACTTGCCCTGGTCGCCGTAGAGACAGAAGTAGACGTTCGCATCTGTGCCGGCACTTGCCACATCGCTGGTGAAGACGGTGACATTCCAGACTTCCTCTGCAAACAGGTAAAATTGTGAAAACTAGCTGGATGCGAAGTCCAGACAACAATTTTCTTGACAAGCCATAAACTGGAAGCTAAAGCCCCTAATAACAAAACAAGTAAAGCAGTTTACCCCCAAACTCACTTTGTTTCTTGGTTTTTCTCATGGACTTTGATTCCGTCAATGTCCTCTCAATGCGCTTGTCCCCTTCGTCATCAGCCAGCCAATCATTGCACAGGAAAGTCTGCTCTATGCCAGCAGCAGGGCAGTCAATAACAACCTGGAGAATATAAATAACAACTTCATTATTAACATTTGAAAGATCTTCAAAAAACCTCTATGAACTCCAAGAGATGGAGCGATTTTCTTTGCAAGGTAGGCTCCTGTAGTGAAAACCGCACATCAGCGGTTCACTAGCCACTATGAAACGCAAGTGTTGCAGTTGCGTTTCTAACCAACCAAAAAGAACATTCCCCACCAACTTGGCTCTTTCCAACCAATGAAGGAGTGCTGCACCCTTCAAAAAGAAGACTATCTGTGGTGATGGGCACTTTTGACAACAGTCAATATCTAATTTCAGAAATGCCGCCCGGGAAGTTACAGATCCAGGGATGGATTAGCCTGTTAATCAGGGGCAAGAGTAATTGTGTAAGACGACTTCATGCAGCCAGTTCACAAGTGAAGTGGGATCCCCATGGTCCTGAAAAGTTCCCACAGCATTTATCTTTGAGAAAAACCTGATGTCCGAAAAATGGCCAAATTTCGTTCTACCTTCTGTAAGTGCCAACCAGCACCGACTCCAGAGTTGTCGTGGCCAATGTCTAATCTGGAGAGAGGGCTCAGTATAGCCCCTATCTCTACGCTGCAGATGTCCGTCCGGCCGCGGTCAAACTTTCCGTCATCCAGCCAGATCTTGCCGCTGGTCTGCTCACCATTCTTCCCACCGTACATGACTATGTAGACTCTTGCGTCGGTTCCAGCCCCACGCTTGTCGCTAGTGGTAATGCGTACTTCATACGGTATTCCTGAAGCAAAGTTTCAAAACACAGGTGTCACAATATTGGACAGTCTTACCCGATCTGGAAGCAAAAGCGTGCCATTCGAGATAAAAGGAGCAACTTCGTGGGCCAACTTTGCAGAAAATATCGCTTTCTGTCGCTACCTTTTTCTGATCCTTTTCCTGCCTTGTCCCCGCAGTAAAGCTCCCTAGTGATCTTGCCGTCATCCTCGTTCTTGGCCAGCCAGCGTTTGCAGGGGAACTCGTAAGTCGCTCCCATCTCAATGTCATCGATGATGACCTGAGTGACGATTGAAAGGGCCACCTTAGCATCACACCAGATGTGAAATTGGCAAATGGTCATGTGCGACAATGGCCTCCTTGTTTCTTTCTGCTCTCAAAGTGCCTTAGCAACCGCAACTCACCTTGTCAAGGAACCAAGCCGGCCCGGGTCCTGAGTTGTCATGACCGATGCGAATCTTCTCCAGGGGTCCAAGGGCTGCTGCCTCCAAGACAAAAACATCCTCCCTTTTGGAACAAAGCATATAAACATTCAAATTATTAGAAACAAAAGAAATAGTCAAATTGTTACATGAATTATCATTTCCTCACTTACTGCTCCTTTTTATGAACTTAATGTGCAAAGGTTTCATGTTAAAGATTATAATATGCCTGCTCTGTGGGCCATGAAATCAATTTCTCTTGCAGTTCGAGATCAACTCCATCTGTTACCTACCCTTGAAGCCGGGAACCCATTTATTCACCTAGATGGAGAGAGGCAATTGAAAAATGTCTTAAATCAGGAGGAAAAAGTATCATGGTATCCCCACTTCAAAGTCACCTGCTGTCATTCTTGAATTGAAGCACTGAACACAGCGCTGGTTGGACCATGGTACACCATTCATACATGTACATTCCTCAAAATACCACTGGCTACACTGGGGTCATGCATCTAAACCCCGGGATTTTGGCCACGGAAGAGGATATTAACACAGCTTTCCAGTTCTTGCAATACTTTGACCTACCTGCCCCTCTCAAAGTTGTTTTTGGAGTTGGTTAGCTTTCTCTCTCCGCTGTCTTCACCCGACTCCCCGAAAATTGTGACGAAAACATTGGAGTCGGTCCCCGCGCCACGTTTGTTACCCGTAAAAATGTGGACTTTGTACTTGTGAGCTGCAAAAAAAGTCCGGATGGAGAGAAATAAAACAGCCTAATGCCTGTGATCTCTGCTGGTGCTGATTTTGACAAATAAGAGCCATCCCTTAAAAAATCCTGAGTCTGCCGTTACTCCTTTGCATGGGTGGAGAATTCTTGTCAGGGGGGAAGGGATGATTTCTAATTATCTCTGTCCAGAGCATGACACGGCATAGGGTCTAAGGTCCCACTTAAATTGGAGAAGCTACAGGTGTGCATAATGTCAGTGACTTGAAAAGTGGAAAGGATGTTTACATTGGTAATCTCTGGGGGTCAAAATGGGGCAGGGGGTAACATATCCCCCCATCCTGTGGGATCTCCTCCCATGCTGTTTTGTCTATTTGGGGGAAGTTGAGTTGATAGTGTAGTACTTTCCTTCCAGCTCTGCAATTTGCGTTTTGAGTCCTGCCTAGGTCAGTATGTGGATTGGGTTATCAGTTCCGACCTGATTCTTTGGGTTTTCCTTGGAATGATTCTCCAGCGTTTTCCTCTCACCTCTAAAACAGAGCATTTCTTCCTCTGTCTTTTCTCTACGGGTTTATGTGCTGCAGGGACACATGGAAAGAAGGCCAAACAGGAGCCAACCAACTGAAAAACATATCAATCTCAAGATCTGATTCGCTCACATTTTCTGACAGCCAGTGGGTCTCTGCTCCCCAGTAGATCTCGGCAGATCAAGCCGTCTCCTTCCCCCTTGGCCAGCCACTGGCCACACGGGAAGTAGTACTTTCCCTTCTTGGGATTGCTAAGGTCGGTCACCACAACTCGGTCAAGGAACCAGCCTGGAGCGAAGCCTGTATTGTCGTGCTCTATCCTGTATCAAATTAGAGGACACATGACAAGTCAGAGGCTGTAGTGGAGACTTTGAGTCTGACAATTTTAGAGTGGTGGTTTAAATTAAGCCTGGAAAAAACCAAGTGTAATCTGAGTTTAGTTTTACTAGTAAGGGACGGGAGAACTTAGACAAGAGCCTACTGGAAAAAACATCTATGTACTTGCGACACGATTCCACAAAACTACGTTTAAAGCCATTTTTCGGTAATTTTGTTTTATCAGCATTTGAAAGAGTTTACAGTAACTGATATTTCTGTTTGATGTTCGACATTCCAGTGAATGTCGAATGAACATTACTGGTGCGGAAAATGTTGTCGACTGGTTTCCGCTTTGCAAGAATATTCCAGAGGTCTTTAACACAAAAGTGGGCAGCTTGTGACTCGTATACTCAGTTCGGGTCACATTTGAGAGAGAGTTTGAATTGCTGACTTGATCCTTTTTTACCTAATTTTCCTGAGTGGTCCTACGTTATTGCACTTGAAGGTGAATACATCACTGTTCCCCCTCTCAAACGGGTCCGCCCCTGGCTGAGGTTTGAGCGGCGTCTTCTTGCTGGTCCCCCGCATGCCGAATAACGTGATGTAAACATTGGAGTCACTACCGGCACCCTTCACATCACCGGTAACCGTGACCACTTCATATTCTGTGGATGTGAAAAGCAAGATCTATTGTTCATACTTGACCAACCAAAGCACATTATCAAATGCAACTAGAAGGAGATTTAAAAGACATTTTGGGACAGCTATGCTCTACACCCCAAACCTTTCTTAAAAAGAAACAAAAAACCACCTTTTGGAGGGGTTTGAGAGTTTGGGGCCAAGGTCATTTTTTACTTGAGTAACTGTTTTGTGCAATACGATGCTCAAGCAAATAATTCTTCACTTCAGTTCCTTCTCTTTAAAGAGGTTTTGGGGAAAATAAAAGATTTCTGTATTTTACATTGGGAGTTCTACCTTCTGTTAACACTGGAAAAGTGTGCAGGATTTAGTTGGGAATTACAAAATATTTGGAAACTACAAACAAAAACAAAAGTAGAAAAATTCAAAAGATTAAAGAGAGAAACTCTAATTTATTTTATACACAGATATTTTTCGAAATATATTTTGAACATGAGGCATTATATTACTGCTCAAGTAAAAGAACTTGACTTCAAGCCTGCTTGTTTCAAGCAGGTCCCAGTTGCGATCGGTGATCTGACGTTGGTTCACTGAAACTAGAACCTGCCTCATGGAAAGTGCGAACCCGCTTTGGGATCACTGATCGAGATCCAGATCGACGTGAAACAAACAAGGCCTTGTGGGGCTGCTTTCCAAGCAACTCTAGCAATCTTCTGCCTGCACCTGTTTTGCCGTGCTTCTTGGGGTCCAGGGCTTTCAGCACCCTCCTGAGCTGGCAGTCGGTCTCAAAGAGTGACAGCCACTGCCCGCAGTGGAACAGCCACGTCTGCTTGCTGGCTAGATTGGTCACTTCAATCTCCTCCAAGAACCAGCTGTCTGCCTTCTCTAGGCCATCATGCTGCGGGTGTTTCAATAGCAAAATGACAGATTGTTCAGTCTGCGATGTAAAACTGAGTCCCCCAGTGAGCCAGCTCAGAATTTCTCGAAGGCGGGGTCATTCTCAAACAGAACGCAAGTGTGAGCTAGCATGTGGACGCACTGATATGGCTGACCTTGTGCACATACAGGCAGTCCTGTTCATGAATCCACCACGAGTGGAAGTGAACTCCCAAGCGGCAAAATCAAGAAGGTAGTAAGTTTTCCTAGCAGGTTCTTGCACAAGTTCTGCATGTACGCAAAGAGTATACATTAAGGAATAAATTCATTACGCTAACTCATCGTCCTCCATGTCAAACGCGCCAATGATCTTCCTTATAAATGCACAACCGCAACTATGCGGTGAGTACAAGAAAGAACCCTCTTTTGTTCCACTCGGAGCGGATACCTTAGATGAGCTTCATCCTAGGCATACACTATTCGAATACCATACTGGCTCACTGGTACTCTCGGACTAAATTTCACTGAACTTCTCAAGAGGTTTTAGAAGTAAGACTTTTTCATTGACTGACCTCCAAATCATCCAGTTAATTACTGCTTTCGTGACCTATATGAAATAATAATCACTACAGGAACCTCATGCACAATACTGTGCATCTCGAAATGAGGCATAGTTAAGAAATAATATAAATGAAATTGGTCAAAACTCAGGAGTTTTCCCAAACAGTGCTCTTCTAGAAATGTCAATAATTACAAATTTTAAGCAGTACGAAGCTGACACTGGCTGGTTCCCCCTCCACCCAGAGGCATAATCCCTGAAGGGTGTAAGGAGCATCTCTGTCTTCCTCCTTCCCCTACCCTCTGTGCCCTCTGGACAGTGGGGTCCCAAGACATTGAAGAAAATAAAAACAATCTGCTCCGAGGGGAACAAAAGAGGACTTTTTTGAATACTCGCCGCATGGGCACGCCTTTATAATGGAGATCCATGGTGCGTTTGATGCCAAGCACGCTGAGTACGCGTAACAAATTTATTCATTAATGTATGGTCTTTGAGTACACGCAGAATGCGTGCAAGAACCCGCATGGAAAACTTGTGACCACCTGTCTTTCTTTAGCCACTTGGAGGTGCACTTCAGCTCAGGGCAAATCTTCAAAGTAAATCTTTTGGCAACCTATCCAAGCCCCCAGGTGCCCCCCCCCCCGCTCGGCCCCCAGTTTTGCTGCGATACGGACCCCCCGATGTCTACCAAACGCACCTCAACTGTCAACGTCTGCAGCTCTCCGACGTCCTGCATCTTGAGCTTGAAGACCTTGGAGGTGTTGCGACTGTACTTGATCTTCATGAAGCCTGACTGCGTCTTGGCCGACTTCTTGCTCAGCTTCCTCTTGGCCGTCTTGCCCTTGCTCCCCTTCAGCTGGATGAAAACCTGCATTCGGAAAAGAATCAGATTGATTCCCTTTTCAAATATTTGTTTTTCAATCTATGTGATCTGACAGGCTATCGAGCACTTGAATCTCACAAAAAAATGTCTCTTTGTGGTGGTTATTTGTGGTTACATTTTTTGGTCATCGGGTGGTGATCTTAGTTCGGACATCATGTTCTCAAGTTTGGAATTCAGGAGTGGGCAATTTCTTTTAAAAGATGCCAGTTTTAACTATTTGAACTTGATATTAACAGATCTGTTTTTTTTACATAATTTTAATGTGTTTTTGCAAAGCCTTTTGATATTAACAGATCTGTTTTTTACGTAATTTTAATGTATTTTTGCGAAGCCCTTTGAGATTTCAATGCAAAATACTACATCAAGAATGAAGAATGAAAGATCTGGATGAAATTATGTTCAACAGACAGGCAGCACAAAAAAACAGAAGCCAAATGCCAATTTGGACGTGGCTTGATATAACATACAAGTCTGTGACAGCGACTGCAACCACTCCTAATAGAGTTGCGTGTAATTCCAAGCCCTAACTAATTAAATTTGCCTGAGGCCGGCCTTACACTTGCAGCGGTGCCACAGTTTTTCTTGTCCCCAGTCTTGACGGTTACCCTGTACATGCATTCTAGCCCTGTTGACTGCCGGCTGCCGCTCCGTCCGGTGCTGGTTCGAGCGTTTGCACTAGCGGGCCGCCTCTTTGCCTTTTGAGACAATAAGTTTGAAAAAGAAGGCTTTCAAAGATGTTTCATCGTAAACTCATAAAACACTATCGCATGGAAACAGAGTGAAAACATTGTTCTTATTAGCTAAAACATATTTTTAAGCTTTATTTGAAGCCAAAAATTCTTCATAAATTTATATTTCACAATTCTGTCAGCAACAACAAATTATTTTCATTGTAACGAGGTGTAATTTCATTTTCAGTATTACAATCTGTACCAATGGGAAACAAATGTACATGTATAAAAGATCAGAAGATTTCATGTACATTAAGGGGCACCATTTTCTATGTGCGACGTCCCATGTGGATATCTTACTTGAGCAGTTCTGGTTGAAGGAAGAATGAAACGGATTGACTAACCGACAGACCAAAGCTTACCCCTGATGGTGGTCTCGGTAAGCCGATTGAAAACTTGCGGGCAAAATAATCTGTGAGATGGGGGTCGGCAAAGGCATCGTACTCCGGCACTGTCACCGTGCGACCATTCTCCACCCGTGGGTAGGTGCCAGTCATCATCTGCCTCTCGACGTTCAGGGCATGGAGCCTCTTGGCTGCAAAAAAAAAGCAACACACAAAGAAAAAAAAAGTAAGGAGTGTCGAAAAGGTAAGAACATAATACTTCAGGGACAGCGCAGTCTGCCTTGCCCTCGTATGCCAGCTTCCTGTAACTCCTAATAAACTTCCAAACCAATCCTCCTAGCACAATTTGCAAGGCTTCTAAGAAGAAACAGGTGGACAAATGCCGAGTACAACTACCTGACCAGTGTTCATTTCTATTCATTGAGCAAATGGTATGCAATATCTGCGCATGCGTCATGCAATTTTGATAAAGAAGATTAAGAAGTTAATTTCTAGGAACCACCGTAACGTATCACCTTTGCTTAATACAGAATACATTGGGGCTTGATACCCCAACCACATGCCCACTACTGAAGTGAATACGTCTCAAGCGCAATTATGTATGAACAGTAAAAGGCATTAACGGGAGAACCAACTCATGCACTATGCTTTGCAGATTTGGAGATTCTTTCTCCAGGCTGACCTGCATAAGGAGCTCTCTTGCTGACGTACGAGTCCTGGTTGGCACTACTGGACCTGAGGGAAGTGACAAAGCGTCGCTGCTTGTGAGGGATGATGTCCGAGCGTGAATCCCTCCACAAGGGCTTGGCGGGTGAAACCGGCTTGCGCATTGGGGCTACAGGAATAATAAAACTTATTGGGAATGAAAGAGGCCTGAACAGAGCTCAGTCCCGATGTGTGACACCAACGCCTGACACTAAATTCAAAAAGTTCCATAGTTTTTACCATTTTTTTTTTCACGTCATCAAAACGGGAAAACAGCACTCTGCTATTTGAGGGTGTACATGAACATGTTTCAATGCATCTTTTTCTGGAAGAAAAGGTTTCCCAAACCGTCAAAATCAAAACTTCAACGTGCCTAAAATCCCAAATATAGGTGAGCTTATATTGCAATAATTGTAAGAGTCTGAAATGTGATCTGATTTACGGATTAAAATTGAATCAGATTATTCAATTATAAACGGCAGATTTCTTCTTGTAGAGATAATTATAAAAGCAGACACCATATGAATGAGTTGAGAAGATCAGGCCAACAAAAGAAGGAATTATTCGTCGCCATTGTCATTCTGCACGTGACCATCAAGAGGGTCGTAGTGACCTCCAGACAACCCTGTCATTGGAGGAAAAAATTGTGGAACTGCGCAGTCCTAAATCTCATTTGACTCAAAATATTAAAATGCTGGTTTCAAGTCAACCCAACTGCAAACAGATAAAATCAAACGTACATGTACCATCTCATTACTTCACAGCAAATTTCTGAATTTGGCTACATCGAGGTAATACAGTGTAATTATGCAGCCACACACCGTATCAGAAATTGTGTTGATTTGGTATACATGTACATGTATACACGTGGACCTCATGGTAGCCAGATATGCTGTTTCAGTCTGGAAATTCTAGATTGGTCCATGAGAGGCTAACAGCCCTCCATAGCAAGATGACATCCAAAGAGCTCAGGTCATAATCAAACTACTGTACATATTGGTGCAACCTGAGCCGCTACTCGGCAATGCAACGCTTTAATGCCAGGTCCACGTACTTCAAAATGACAGATGGCAACACTAAATACAAATATGCCCTTCTTCTCAGATTGAGGCACCAGAATGTTTTAATTATTCTTTTGCTAACAGTCCTGCTTGACTTGTCAGCTTCTGCCTTTAGTTATTGACTGGTTAAAGTGAATCATTAATTTATTTATCTGATGTCACTCCATGTTGAAATGGATACTGAAAATAATTAGTGAACAATCAAATATACAGTATTCAACATTTGTGACAAAATCATCTCCTTGATTACCTTAAAAAATAACACACTGTACCTAAATTTGCGTTTGGCTTATGTATCAAGTTTGATGCACAAAAGTTTCATATTTTTAAGTTTTGTAACCAAAAAATGTGTAACGCCCGGTAAAGTCATGTGTAAATCACTTGGGGGACTCAAATTTTGCACAATTAAACAAAGTTGTGCTTAAAACCTTTTAAATGGAATAATATGTTTTTACACCCTTGAGCCAGGGTGACATGCATTCCTTATGGGTATTAAACAAAATCATGACCCACTTCATAGCATAAGAAAACAAAAAGTGTACTGTAGGATAAAGTCATCGTTCGGGCATGATGTTATACATGTACATGTACATATAAGGAAACAAATCCTGTATCACTCGCTCAACTTTGCCGAGACCGGCCGGTGAAGATCTGAGAAACATTTAATTTTCTTTTCCAGGCAACAATACAAAGACAGGCTCCAAACATTCAAAATGTTAATCATCAACTACTACACTTGGTTGCAATTTTTCACCTGTCTAGGATGTGCCACTGATTGAAAAAAAAACCTCATTTATAAGACATCATCAATTAATCATTCGGGCATTTATTATCCAGATCATGGTCCCTGCTTATAATCAGTGACAGGGTTTACAGCATTCATTCCAATTACGAACCAACAGGCGCGTTTTACCTGACTGTGGCCTGGGTCTGTCCACGGCATAGGGGGGCCTGGGGTCCAGTGTCCGCACCGGTCTGGCAACTGATGTTGAGCCACCGGCCATTGCATCCCACACTGCTATAGAGTTCATCATGATCACCTGTGTGGTTCTTAACCAAATAGAGACCTAGGGTGCTGAATCCACGTCGGCCATTCTAAATGAAAACCTGGGGGAAAAAGGGGAAAAAAATCTTGTTTTAAGTTCAACAGGTTTTGCTTCTTTTTCTCACTTCAGGACAAAAGAGAGATTCACACAATCAAACCTATTTAGGGAGAAAAATCAAGCCTTCTGAGCAATTGCAAACAGAAAAATATTCAATTGTTGTCTTTCTTACAACTCCATTTGCTGGCACAGGAATCACCAGGATTTTTCAGGGGGGGAGGGAAGTAAACCACTTGTTTGCCAGGGAGGTGGATTCCCAGAGGAGGGAAGCAAAATACTCGTCAACTGAAAATTAAACAATTCATGGGGAGGGGGGTTGATTTTGACTTTTTTATGTAAATGGTGATTTTCATTCCCTTTAATGTCTGTTTTTTTTTACAATTTCTTACATTTCTTCCTTCCCTTTCTAAAATGTAATTCCTTGATTTATCTTTCTCAATTTTTTTTCCACATTGTATCTCCTGATGCCCATGTCTACTAGATGGTTTGTGGATTTCTCTCCATCCAATGCTCTGTCTCTCTCTCTCTGAGTTGGCAGGTTGATGCATCACATGCATGCTCTACTTCTGTGAGTGATCACTGCTTGAAACTCTACACGACTAATGTCTGCATGGCTCTGCAGACCAGGAGGAACTAATGGCAGAGCAAACCATGGGTGAAGCTTGAATATTCTCTGGTCACATTTCCCCTTTTATACACGTACATGTAGGTTTTACTCTCACCACAGAATGTTTATGAGCGCTGAGTCCATGCACTCAGTCTTATTTAGAGACTGGGGACGGGATTTATGAGCTTGCCGGGCCTGGAATGGGACTTGAACCTGTGACTCCCGGATTCTAGTGCAAACTTGCCCGGCACTTGACCGTCGAACCAGGCAGTTTGGAGTCTGTCAATGTAGACAGGTGCCTCATTAATGAATTGAGACATGACTCACACCGCACTAGCACAAAACCCTATACTACTATGAAATATGCAAATACCGCAGGTGCATGCGCATTACTACCACTGGTTGGCAAAATTGCTTTTTTTATAACGTAACAATAAATATCTCCATGCAGGCATTGCGGCAGGCACGGTACACCTGGTGGGCCTAAGCATTACCGTAACCTGCGCAGGCGTATCACTTGCTCAAATGGCGCCCATGGTAATCACACCTTTTGGGCAGAGTTATCCATCTTACGCCTTCGGCGCTATACGATCTTTCTAGTTAACGCTGTATCCACCACTCTTCACATACATGTATATGTACAAATGGCTGTCCATTGGCATTGGGGCAGTTCAGATATTAAAACAAAACAAAACTTAATGGGAACTACATGGCTGTGACATTACAACAAGGGTTTAAGCAGAGCATATGCAAAAATTTGAACAAATTTGCCGTACTTAAATATTCTTAATTTATTTTTGGTGACATTAAAATTGTATTAAGGTTTACAACACACTCTCTAAATTGGAAAGATTGAAATTAGGGACAGGACATTTTAGAGTGAAAAAATCACTTTGAATTTAGACCGAAAAAGGCTGAAAATAGCCCCTTCCAGTGGAAGCTCGGGTGAAATTTCACTCTTCTGGAGTAAAGAAATTTCACTCCAATTCGTCTGGTCCTTAATTTCAATCGGAGGGATTGAGTTTTCTCTCAAATAGAGTGAATTTCCACTCTTTGGAATTTAGAGAGGAGAGTACCGTATTACAGACTGTTGATGCAGACATGCCTATCATAAAATATCACCATGGACGACAGAGACTTCAAAGTGCTATCATTATGTTATGATATACTGTATTTTAAGCCATGTGATGTCCATGCACTTTTAATTAAGACTTACAAGTACACTGCATTACAGTGGTTTATAAAATATGTACCGTCTTTACATGTATTTCTAATCAAAGATCCTCTGAACTATCCACGCCGGGTTAAAGTGCACCCCCAAGCGGCTAAAGAAAGACAGGTGGTAGCAAGTTTTCCAAGTGGGTTCTTGCAAGGATTCTGCTTGTACGCAAAGAAAAAAATTGTGCTCCGCGTCAAACGTGCCATTGATCTCCATTATAAACGCGCACCTATGCGGTGAGTACCCCAAAAAACGCCCTCTTCTGTTCCGCTCGGAGCAGATAAAATAAGTTCTCTTTTACTTCAGGAATTCCCCAATGTTTCAAATCATTTTCTAAAAACTAGCTTTGCCCCCCTTCTAAAAAAAACCATGATGGTATCAGCAGGAAATTGGTCTTTTTGAAAGCTCAGAGCTACGTTAAAATCAACAAGTGGTCGTATTTAAAACGACAACAATGACAAAATGACAAACAAATCATTGCTGGTTTGCCCCTCACAATAGAAATCACTGAAGTGTACACTCCATTTTAAATCTGAAAATGAAACTGGGAGGGGGGGTTTTACACTGAGCCGGTGTGCAAACACAATGCAACCACTTGACAAGGGATGAATGACGCTTTTCATTGAACAAAGGCTTATCACTGGCTTTCCGCACCACCGGTCACCATACTTTCGTACAGCTCACAGTGTGGGACATACAGGTATCTGTAATCAACATACATGTACGTCGCAGCTGTAACCGTAATGGCCATGGGGATGCTGACTTTAACGTTGCCATGGTGACGACCAAACAAATCAATAGCTGCATGGCGGCAGATATGCTTTTCACGGCATCTTGTTCAAACACACAAAGCAATGGGGGACGGCAACAGCAAAATGCCCCAAGAAGGTCAAGGGCGGCTCCACACGATGCCTTTGCATTGTTGCCACGATAATCACAAAATAAAGTCCATGCACGTACGCACGTGTCAGCACTACGTTTGTCAGCAAACATTAACAGTGTGCATCTTCATAGATATGTCCAATATAAACATGCACTTATGAAATATATCAGTGTTGTATTCGAGTCCATCACAAGTCCTTTCACAAGTCCCTACACAAGTCCGGTCACAAGTCCCTTCCCAAAGCCAGTCGTGCATTAAACAGGGTGAACAACGTTGTTCACCCTGTTTAAAGGAATGCTTTTGTCACAGCTCATTTGAACAGCTTGTGAATTGGCTTAAGACTGAATGACTTGTGACGGACTTGTGGCGGACTTACAGGTTACATGTAACTTTCATTTCTCTTTGATTGCAGAAAATCGGCTGTGATATAGTTTGTTGACTAAAATTATTGTGAACAAACTTTAATCCAAATAATGCTGAGTGTATCCATGATTGAAGAGATGCAAATACATGTAGTGCATTGATGGAAACTTAATAAACTATCCTTTTAGATGGAACCATGTTTTACCTTGACAAATTTGACGTACAATTTACCAATCCATTACATATGGGTAATTCCAGAAATTAGGGGTCTATTTACATGTATGCCCCTGTCACATCTGACATGATTTTGTAAGTTCAGAACACATTGCCTAATGTCCAAGAGTGATGAATTAATGCAAATTACCTGCCAAACAAATAGCAATAGTTTGAAATCAATTCTGGTGATATTTCGATGTGAAATAACAAAGGTCAGATGTAACAGGGACACAAAAATGTCACACTTTTGGGCCCCTAGTTCCTGGAATTATCCAAATATGGAATTGTGCTTGTTTTTCTCATATTCCAAAAGGAATGTCTAAAGAATTACATAAATAACAAATATTAGGACTGGCTGCGTTCTGCATTTTTTGAGACCTTTAACACTTAAACAGAAGTTTTCTTATGTTGCTTGAGTTGAAAAAAAAAACGTCTTTGGAGAATGTCAGAGTCTGCCCTGCAGAAGTGAAATGACCCAACTTCCAAGACATGAAAACCCTCTAGTTGCACAAAGAGAAATCCTGGCCAAATAAAAAGCACGAGAGATGCTCTGGAGATTACATCCGTGATGAGGCACAAAAGAAAGAGATGAGAGAAAGAGAAAGAAAGAGAAAATGTCTCAGGTGTCACGAGGCATGGACGGGATGCATTAACTCTCATTTCATATCCTGCACTGTTCGGCTGATCTATTTTAAGGATGTAAGGACCCTGTGGCTGTTTGCGCGAACACAATGCACGGTGCGTGCTCAAATGCCGATATTTTATGGGCAGTCTTGCTGATTGTGAGCACTGTTTATCGGGGTACCGCATCTTGTAAATTTCACCCTGGTTCATCAATGCTCCGTAGCGATCCAAGGGAGCAGGGAATTCAGGAAGATTCTAGCCACGGACAGTTAATTTTGGTCTAGAGTGACTCGGGTGATATTAACTCTTATTACAGATAGTCAGAAGGGATGCGTGTATTTGGCTAGCTTTTCAAAAAATAAATTTTTTCCTCTGGGATAAACTGTGCTGCATTAGTTCATATCTGAACTGAAACGTTGCATTATTTCCCTAAAGAATTTGCAAATGGATGCCTAACAAATGTAGACTTTTTAATGCAAATTTTAAATTACATTTGGTTTGCTCAAAGATGCTAATTTGCTATCCCAGCTTTGAGGATTTTTTTCCAATTATTTGTGTTTCATTTCAGGCAACAGAGATGTTGCCAAAATGGCCTCTCGCAATGAAAATCACATAGCAAAAAACAACGCCAATTTAGCTTGTAAAAGGAGCTACAGGTACGATGCTTTTGCAGGATTTTCATTACATTAGATGGTTGCCGTGTAAACAGTAACCATGGACACGGCAATGAAAACACCGAGCCAAGGCAAGAATCTCAATGTGTTTGGGGAGTACACAGAAAGGTCTGATTATTTCCCCTGACAATGTTTGAGTTATTTCTGGCTCGGGGGCATATCCCCAGCAAGTTCTTTTTAAAAAATGCAGTTTCTCGTTACGTACAAAAATCCAAATAGTTCCTCCACTAATGGATGGGTTGGGAATTACATTCTTGCTTTTCTACAATTAAAATCATTTACAGTCTTGCACACAATCTTCCCCCGTGGCGGAATGATTTACGGTTCAAAGACATAAAAAAATACATTACATGTCCTTGTTTTCGAATGACTAGATGGAACTTGTAGGGTTTCTATAGAGTTTGCAGGATTTTTATAA